TTTTTGAAACTTTACTTTCGTTTCCTTTAATTGATTACGGAGTTTCAACAAGTAAAGCCTTCTATCATTAATTATCTAATTTTTGAAAGAAGTAATTTCAAAAAATTTCTGTTAAAGCTACTTTACCTTATTGAAGAAGTAACTAATTTTTCAAAAATGATATTTGCGTGATTAAATTGATAAGACCTATCAGGAAAAAATCAGTTTAGGCTAATGCCCGTTTTATTATAGCTAAAGCAACATTTCAAAGTTTGATAGCAAGGTTTTTTAATAAAATATTAATAGGCAATAATATTTTATTCGATTTTTCTTTGAATGCACATTCGTATGTAAAGGAGAAATGCTATTAATAATTCAACAGACAAATTTCATGGTAACTGCTAGAGAATACGTTTCTGAACCGTCTGCTCCTATCACAGAGGTCAAAAATCTTACAAGTATGTAATTTTTGAATAGTTTATACAAAATTATTGACACAAGTACAATGTCTTTTACATACACACGTAATGATGGAATTATTTAACAATCATGTCCATTAACTCGATTTCAAATTTTTTAAGAAAAATAACTCTAAATTTAAATATAATTGTTTATGTATATTTATTTCTGATAAAGTGAATAAGTGGCAAATGTAGATATTAACAAATGCAGCGTGCATCATTGTTATGTTATACTATTATGCATAAAACAATAAACCTATTGTTCAAATATCGCTCGTTATACATAAAGAGAAATTGTTAATATTTCCACTTATTAATATATTCCGCTGCTCATTTATCGCTACAATAAACTAATTGCACTCTGATTTATATTTATAGTTACTTCCTTCTTTTGCTTTGTATTATATTTTACAAGATAAGCAAGAACTGTAATTATTCATAAAATCGTTTAAGAAAACTTAAAAGCTGTTATTTTTTTCACTTTTATTTATTTGGTGCTGAAAAATTTGACATTTGATAAATAAGTAACGATTATTTTTTGAAAAGATTCAAAAACTGCTAATTTACAAAATAATAAACACACGCCTAAATAAATGAATCGATTTCATCACCGCCAACGAATAATTTTCATGCAAAATCAACCTTGAACTGTTTTTATTGATTGCAAAAACGACTTTTGCATGTTAAAATATTCAGGCAGTTTTTTCTGCATTTTATTATAATACCTACCTGGTCACAGATAATGCAAATTTTTAAGAATAATGAGTTTCCTTTTGTACAATCATGTTTTATAAAAGCAAAAAAAATAACATCTGGCTATTCAGTAATTTTCAGTCGGTTTTCTGTTTTAATAAAAAGACGATAATTTGCGTAGCAGGTGTTTCACAAAAACGATAAAAATAATAATGATGTCACATGGGTGAGTACTAAACGTACGAATAAATTAATCTAAGTACATATGTATATTTGAAATCNTTTTTTCTGCATTTTATTATAATACCTACCTGGTCACAGATAATGCAAATTTTTAAGAATAATGAGTTTCCTTTTGTACAATTCAATTCTATTGTATAAGAAGCTTTAGAATGGTTGAT